TTGTGTATTTTTATTGTTGTTTTGTACTATAATTAAAACAAAATAAACAAATGTTGTTTCTGATACATCTTTGGGCAAAAATTTACTCTAAATCTAAATTTTAATTTTTCTTTGTAAAAAAGAGACAATAAAAAAAGAAAAAACAGGTAAAAAAATACAAATTCGATTTTTTGTGAATAAAAACGAGACCAGTAAAAAGACTAAAATTGAAAAATTCCCAAATAAAAGGATGGTTAGTTTGTATGAACATTCCCGAAATATTACTTAAATTTTATATTTTTTTACGCTATCGTTTTTTAAAATACAGTTTACAAAACAGACTTTATTCTGTACTAAAGTAATTTAAAGATTAAAAAAAACATATTACCTTCAAACGTTATTGGCTATACACAACTGATTATGTTATTTACAATTTTAATATTGATAGTGTTAATATTAAATTTCAATTGTGGATAACATATTTGTTATTTATAAAAGTAATATTTAGATTTAAAACATAAATTATTTAAGCCAAAAAATGTTTTGCAATTTTCCAGAAATAAAAAGTGTCAAAGTTAATAAATTTAAAGTTGTTTTCTCTTTTTTTTGTCGACTTCAATTTTATAGAAATACCTCATTGCAACATTCCTAAAAAGGATATACACAAAAGTGTTATTCATTTCTATTTGTGGTTTTTTGACTTTTTAATGTGAAATCGTCTTTTTGCAATCAGTTGAACAATTTGATAATATGTCCAATTTTATCAAAATTCTGTTATATTAATTTAAACATTAAAAGGATGAAATTTCAGTGTCAGAAAGTCTCAATTAAATTGGACAAAACAATTGGTCAGAAGAAAAATCGTTATATTTTTCTGTTTTTTTGCAAATTCATTTTTCTGTAAGAGCTTTACTCAATTTTAGCTTTTCATTATAAAATTCATAACGCTAAAAATCAATTTAGTGTATTCAACTTTTTCCAACCCACCTTTACCGTGTTTGTCAATAACATCAATTTAATTATTAATTCTAATATTAAAGTTTGATATTGACAATACATTTGTAGAAGATGTTGTTGTTGTCCTTAAAGATTAGAAGTCTTTCAACATTAATTTAGTTTGTCTGTCAACTCTTTCAATATTGTACTTTTCATAAGATACATAAAAAAATTAATTTTGTAAACTTCAAAATTCTTTACAAGTTTCAATACAGATTTTGAGAAATGTATTTGACAAGTTCAATCCCGTTTTGTAGAAAAAGAAGAATTCTGCCGTACCATTGGTAACATCACAAGGCTTCCCTTCGTCGAGAAATCAATAACAAAAATGATGAACACTTCATGTGTTCATTTTCAAAAAATAATTATTATTGTTAGATTCCAACAATGCATTAATCTCTGTTTATTTCTTTGTGTGTGGCATCATATGTGGAGCGACTTCGCTTTTTATATACTCTCTTGTTGATTTGAATAGAACTTTATTACCAAGAGATACAATAAAAGACTCAACTCAATCTATTTCGACTGTTGATCGACAGGTAACGTCTTTTACATCCAAATTATAATTTCTTTTGTATTAGATTGACAATGTTTTGGATTGTTATTTGTTTTTACTCCAACATTGTTGTGAAGGCCTTGAACAAAGAGATTATTTGAAACGACCACAAGATGTATAAAGAAGTACATGGTGTCTTTACCTTGTTGGTACAATTGGTTTGGGCTTTCAAGTCTTCGAATGTTATTAATAAAAGTTTAAGAAAATTTAACAGCACAAAGTGAAACAATCTTTGAATAGTAACAGTTAAATAACACATTTTAGATTATTTTATTTGAATAACTTTTATAAACTATTTTATTTGTTTTAATGTTGTACTTTTTATATTCTCATCAATTTTTTATGTGTTATTTTGATTGTTTTGAAATAAAAATATAAATTTAAATACAATAATTAAAAAAATGAATAATGGTCGAGTTGAAAAACACGTACACTTTTTGGTATAAATGTTTGGCCATCAATGAGATCTCCACTTCGAGTTATGTAACTACTTGGAGTACATTTGCTAAAATTTAAACCACATTTTGCAACAATAATGTCACTGTTATTATTAACATCATCATGTTTTCCAAACGTAAAGAGATAAGGATTGTCTTTAGTACAAGTTATAATAGAATTGTCAATTTGTCCCTCTTGTAAACCGAATTTTTGAGGGTTATATATCCCATTTTTCACAAGTGAAAAAATGAATGTTTCTTCGAATATATAATCTCTTTCATCAAAAAATCCCCAACTGTAATACACTCCTCCAAACTTATTCTTTTGGTCATCTTCAATCAAAAAAAGATAACTGGAATTTCCTTATATTTTGTCG